TTTGGAGTACTGTTAGTTGGCATCAAAGTACTGTTAATAGTCTATAAAATGTGTACTGAGGTTTGGGTAAACTTTGCAAAGGCACAGAGTAGATAATAATAACAGAGATAAAAAGTTACAAGTACTTAGCTATAGCCTAGGTATAAGTTACTGAAAATCTAGATAATATATATAGGATATGAACTGCTTTAATAGGTTTATCACAAAGATAAAGTAGTTCTAAGGGGCCTTAGTGGCAGTTCCTCTTTGGAGAGAATATCTGACAATACTAAATTGATTAGAGGGTTTAATTGACGATTTTTAAATCTGTGCCTGGTTATGCATGATGCTGATCACTATGTAAAATTCTTTAAAGTTCATTAATGTTAAGGTTAGCATTTCGTATAAAGTTAAAAGCTAAGTGGTTTTATAGTAAAATCGCACAAGGAAAACTTTTTGTTAGTACACTAAAGGTGGTTTACTATACAGATTTTGAGAAAGAAGTGATTGTTAGCAAAACGAACGTTTGTTTTGATTGTGCTACATTATATCTGATTCTCAAATCTGATTTGTAGATCATGCATAATCATGCATAACCGGGTACAGATTCAAAAATCGCGTTTAATTGGGTAACTCAAATAATAATGGGCTATTGGTACTGCATTTAGTATAAAATCTAGTAATAGGCAAACTACTTAATTAGATGCTCAAAAACACAGATATAGCTAGAATATATTCTTGTTAATATAACAAAGTTAGGGTAGTTCATGTGGTTGCCTTGGTATTTAATTCAAAGTTTAATAAAATATGCCAAACTCTAAAGTGATCATCTTAACATTAAAAAAAAATATCTTTATACTAAAGTATTATTACTGGTTAATAAATAGTCTTTTATTATCTCTTATTGCTGCTTCTAGACCTTTATAAAGTTCTTCTAAATCTGTTTCTACTTTACAGCATATCTCTAATACTTTAGTATTTTATTTACAAGTCTTCTCAAGCTTCTAATTTAGATAATTCAAAGAACTATATTTGTTTCTAATATATAGTACTAAACTAAATTCTTTTTTTTCAGTAATACTAAACTTGAAAGTTTGGTTGATATATTAGTTTTTAGTCTTTATTATATAATTTATCTGCTTTATATAATCTATTTCTTAGGTTTAGCAATTATAGTAGTTCTATCAAAGATTTAAGCTATCCTTCTATTTATAATTTTAAGTAAACTTTAGTTTTTTCAATCTTTGAATTTATATGTCTAATAATCTTATTATATGTTTGCACTAACTCTGATACTAGCTTGTATTTCTTTGTATTTTGTATAATATTATACAAATATCTGAGCTTCTAGTCTTGTTAATTTAATCAAAGTTACAGATGTTCTAATCTAACTAATTGACAAAAACTATACTTAATACAAAATAAAAATTTAAATATTTTGTATTTAAAAAGAATCAAACTCTAGTTCTGTTACCTGAATGGTAATCTATTTTTGTATAAAACAACCAACTAATCAATTACATTACTTTATTACAATCTTTAGAATCTTAATTTTTAAAATTAAATAAAATTAGATACTATTTATATATGCCACCAAAATAGGTTTCAAAAAACTCCTATTTCGTCTCCATTAGAGCAATTTAGAATTTTTTATATACAATAGCAAATCTAATTTAGGTAGTTATATTTTTTATAATTTCATCTTTTCAAAAAAAGTTTTAAAAAATTTCGTCTTTTAAGTAAAATAAATCAAAACCAATTTCGTCTTCAAATTTTAATTTCGTATCCCAAAACTTAAAATAATTTCGTCAGTATGTATAATACTATTTATAAAGTTAGTAATTTTATTAACAAAAAAAATATTTTATATAATAGAGTATTATTTTTAAAAATACTTTATATAGTGCTCTATAATAAAGTATAATAAAAATTTAATAGTAAGTATCTCTTTGTCTGTATTAGAGGCAAATCTGCTTCTAATTTTAAAAAACATTTAAAATTTTTAATTAAAATTTTAAATTTTAAATTTAGCAATATATTTTCTAAGTAAAAATTATTTTTAAAATCTGTTTAAACAACTTTATTAAGAAAATTTTTTAAGAATATTAAAAAATTTTTGAATAATAAAAATTTAAAGTTTTTATTTTTAAAAAAATTTGTCTTTTCTTACCAGTGGTGATATCACCAATCACATGATTAACAAAATTAATTAACTAATTAAATATGTGATTTATATGTAATTTTATATGAGCTTATTAATCATATATATAAATAGGAATTTGAGATGTAAATTGAATTTTTTTCTTCAAATACTTGTTTAAGACTAGTATATATCTAATAAATAGAACTGTAATACAAAGGTTGTCTATAAAGGAGAAGTCTGGTATGAGAACAAGAAATAGAGTCAAAAAACTAAAGCAAATATAACATATAGTCTAAGCTTTGGGCCAATATTAAGTGAAAAGACATTTATTAGTCTACTGTATTAAAAGGACGTTTATTAATCTACGGTAATTAGTAGTCATCATCTTGGCCAGAACATTACTTTGACTTCTATAGTTCTAAATAAAAAGAAAAGCATTGGTAGAAGCTATTTGCAAAAACACGATCTAGAGTTTAGATTTTGAACATAAAAGCAAGCGTATACTTGACAAATACAAAGAGCGTGCACTTTGACAAAATACAAAGCAAATTGCCTTTTGGCATTTTTTTTTTCTTGAGAATATGGATCTACAAAAATCTCAAATTGTGAAATTATTAGGTGGGTAATATAATCTTGCATCCTATATGATAATTAATTGTTAACCAAACTTATATTTAACTAACTCTTTTGATTCTATTAATTTTGTGCTATTGCTGCACTAGAACTACCATACTTTACAGAACAACCATCCTTTACAGAACCACTATCTTTTACAGAACTATCATTATTTTCAGAAGTCTCTCTGATAGAAGAAGTATTAGGTAGGTAGATATAATTTTACATTTATTTTTATTTTTATTTTTTTGTTTGGAAAACACTAAGTGACATATTTAATCTTATATTCTATATAATAACTAAATGTTAATAAAAATTTATGTTTAACTAATTCTTCTGATTTATTAATTTTTAGATCATTCACTTTACTAGAACCACCATTCTTTACAGAAGAGTTTCAAGCAGAAGAACTTCAAAATGTATCCTATAACCTAGGATCTTTAATTCAGAATAACTTTTTTAATTATAATAAAACAAACAGTTTGCTATATTTACTAGAACCACAGCCTGTGTCAATTGATCAGAATAATCAAATAGTAATTGAAGATACCGAATTTGAAGTGATCACTGATTCTGATGATTCTGGGGTTGTAATACAATTAATTATTTCTGGCACTACTTTTCTTTCTTGAATATCACTTGAAAAAAGTCTTAAACATTATGGAAGGAAAAATGGATTTAGATCAATTAAGGGAAAGAAAGATATAGATAGTGAACCTGGCTATATTATTTGTTGATACTTTGAGTGTGAATATTTAGGTGATTCAAAATCAAAACATACTGCCAATCAAGCTCAAGCCTGACAAACCAATTCAAAAAAACCCAATGTTCATAGCATTGCAATACTAGCTATAGAAAAACTGAAAACAAAATTTATATCAATAAACTTGTTGAAAAGCATATCTATAATATTACACTATATTGTGAGGAGTTTGCACTATCTTTGCGATGATTGTTACAAGATGTTTTAGATGAAATCAAGTTTATGACTCAAAAATGGGAATATAATGCTTAATAGCAAAGGTGGTATCTTATCAATAAGTTTCTAGACATTAATATTTACTCTAAGGATCTTTACAATGCAATCTGATATTATAAAACTCTCGTTGCCTCAAAAATTAATTAGGATGCTGCGTTAATGCTTGAGTATTTAATTTTTAAGCAACGTGAAGATTCAAATTAGAAGGTTAATATGTATTTCGAGAGCACTGATACTTCTTTGGCTTGTCTTTTTTGGCAAAGTCCAACTCAATTTATGTTGTATAAATAGTTTTATGATGTAGCTGTGAATGATAATACCTGTAAAACAAACATTTATTAAATGTTATTAAATATTTTTGTTGGAGTTGATTCTTATAACCAAACAAGAATGCTTGTACAAACACTTATCTAAGATGAAATCCAAACTACCTTCAAGTGGATTTTCCAATCCTTGAAAAGTTTGAATAATAATATTACACCACAAACTATTTTTACAGATGGTGATTCAGGGATGGCCATTGCAATTTACAATAAATTTTCTAATACCAAACACTGACATTGTTTATTTCATATTAGCCAGAATCTTAATAAGCACCTTATACAAAAGCTGGGTTAAATTCAGTATAAAAATTTTCTTAATCAATTTTATTGTTCATGTAATAGTAGATGTAAAGAATATTTTGAAACCAGATAGCAACAATTAATCAATAATTTTTCTAAACATGAACGGTATCTGAATCAATTGTACAGATCTCGGTATATGTAGGCCTTGGTTTATACATATATAACCTTTTGTGCTGATATGAATAGTATTTAGTGTTAAGAGTATTAATAGTATTTTAAAGGCTTAAGTTGGTGCTCAAACGACGCTTACAAGATTAGTAGAAAGCATTAAGAAATGAATTAAAAATGAATCTAAACACCAACATGAATCTGAATATTGCAATCAGCTTCTATCTGTTGGTTTACTTACAATTCATAGCATCTTTTTTTCTAAGGTTGATGAAACTTTAAAAAAAATATTTAACTTCTAAAGCATTGGCTTGTCAAAGACTTCAAATTAGTCAATTCTGCCTTTATCACTCTTATCAAATTAGCAGCTCAATGTTTAATCAAATAAGTATTAAGTTGAGATTACTTCAAAATTATTAATAATTACTAATCTATCTTATTTAACTAGAATAATAACTTAGAATATATCGTTGGATTTCTTGAGGAGGATTATCAGGAGAGTTATATTCTGCTTTCAGGAATATTTAAATTAGTTAAAACCCAAAGCATTTGTGAGATATGGCAAATTAAATTATTTAGTAATTTAGCTGCTTATAATGAATACTATATTATAGTTATAGAAGATAATACTCATTTATGTTCTTGTATGTCACTTATTGCTAGAGGCTTTTTTTGCTGACACTTCTTTTCTGTTTTAGTTGTCTCTTTGCTCATTAAGTTTCAGATACAAATGATATCTCAGCGATAGTTTGCAAATTCTATAAATGCAATTGAGCAACCAATAACTATTAAAATTACAAATGCTATAACAGATGTACAGGATATTCAAAATGATGAGTTAAGCAATATCTTAGCTATTATTAAACAGATTCAAGAACCAGACTGTTTTAATTATGAAGTTCAACAATATACTTTCAAGAAGGCTGAGTATTGTCGAGATATTAGCTTTGCCAAAAAAGGAGTTCAAGTTGCTCTAAATACTAATACTATAAATAAATTTATTGGCATAATGTATAACTTTATTGAATTAAAGTCTATTCAAATTGACAATTCATTAGGATTAGATATTATTGGATCAGTAACAAATTCTTATGTTATTTTACATCATGGTAGACCGAAGAAGCAATTGTCTAACTTTTTAAAAGTTGTAAACAGTTCGAATTCTCAAAAAATTAATAAATCTAATAAAATACTTAATGATTTTGATCTTACAAACAAAGCTACATATAAGTGTTCTTATCGTAATAAGACTGGTTATTATGCTAATACTTGTAAATTAAATCTAAAAAACAAAAAAAAGTAAAAGGTTGAGTTATAGATAGAGTTAGTTTGGTTAAAATTAAAATAGTTTTAGAGTTAAAATATTAAATTAGTTCAAATAATAGTGCTTGTAGTTTATATATTAAGTTGCAATTCAAATTTAAATTCTTGAAATGATGTCATTTGAATCTTATTTCTATGTATAGCATAGTTAGTACCTTTGCATATTCCAAAGTAAGCATATTTTATAAATCATTCAGAAAAAAATTTTTATTAATATACAAAAGATGATTATCTGTATATATTACAAGTCAAGGTTAAGTTAAACTTGACTAGGCCAAATTGAACCTAACAAAATTTTAGGGTTAGTGTGGGCCAGAATTATATTGATGCCAGCTAGGTTTTTTAATTGATTAATTTGACCCAGATCAAATTGAACCTAGCAAAATTTTAGAGTTAGTGTGGACTGAAATTATGTTAATGCCGGCTAGAGTTTTTTAATTAATCAATCTAACCCGGGTCAAATTGAACCTAGCTAAAATTTTAGTATTAATATGTGCTAGAATTATGTTGATGTCGTCTGGGTTTTTTAATTGATTAATTTAACTCAGATTAAATTAAATCTAGCAAAATTTTAAAGTTAGTGTGGGCTGGAATTATGTTGATACCAGCTGGAGTTTTTTAATTGATTAATCTAACCTGGGTCAAATTGAACCTAGCAAAATTTTAGAGTTAGTGTGGGCCAGAATTATGTTGATGCTAGCTGAGGTTTTTTAATTAATTAATTTGACCTGGGTTAAATTGAATCTAGCAAAATTTTAAAGTTAGAGTAGGCCAGAATTATATTGATGCCAGCTGGAGTTTTTTAATTGATTAACTAATCCAGGTCAAATTGAATCTAGCAAAATTTTAGAGTTAGTGTGGGCCAAAATTATGTTGATGCTGGCTGGGGTTTTTTAATTGATTAATTTGACTTAGGTTAAATTAAACCTAGCAAAATTTTAGAGTTAGTGTAAGCTAGAATTATGTTGATACTGGCTATAATTTTTTTCTGTCGATTATTGTATAACACAAATCACATGACCAGCGATATCGCTATTGGCAATAAATAGCAAAATTTTATCAAAATTCCCTCATACATATCAACTTTAATATGATTTCTTGTTAATATCACTATTAACATGATTTAAACCCAATTCAAATAAATTGATATTAATGAAGGTAATCTGTACCTATGTCTAAATCATCAAATATATAGCTCTTCTGCTTTCACAAAATTTATACAATGCTTTCTGCTTTTATGATAGACAAAAATAATAAAAATTTATATTATAATAACACAATTACAAAGTATATATTTCATTCTCATGACTTTAAATTTGTAAATATCACTTACTTTTAATATTTGAAAAATACTCAATCATATCCTTATAACTAGCACCAATGTCATGTCAAGTTTACTATAATAATTTATCTAATTATATTGTAAAAAGAACAAAAACTATTAATTAGATATTAATTTCTTAATATTAAAGACAGAAAACTATATTTTTATTAACAATTACTGTTAAAATTCTTTGTAAGAAATGATTTAGACTATAAACTTAGTCTAAACAAAACATATTAAGATAAATTTCTATCTCTTTTTCCAAACTTTTTTAACAGATCTACAAAATCAAATAATGATTATACAATACTTCTAACTAATATGTTTAAATAATTAATTTATTCAAATGCTAGATAGATTATTTCAGTCATTAAATAAACAGCTCACAAACAACCTTTAATATATAATACAAATTCAGATGGATGATCTAAAAATTTTTCTTCAGAAATTTCTGTCAATAACAATATTAGAATTACTTAATAATTAATATTAAATACTACTAAAACCAAATAAAACAAATATATTTTACCAAATACTCTTCTAATATTAACTGCTTTCTCATCAAATATATCTCAAATAGATTATTCTTCTTTTATAGAAAAATAGTTCTTACAAGATTTTTCTTTAACTAACTATATTTCTTAAATACTATAATATATACTTTAAGTTTTCTTCAACCTATTCTAGCTAATTAGTTATATTATAATTAATAAGTATTTTTAGAAAATAGAGGGTATAGTGTTATATTGGATGCCTATTTAGTCACCATATCTATCAGATTTAAGAGAATGTACTGTATAATGTTATTTATGAATACTTCCTTAATAATTCTTTAATTGAACAGGAATATGTAATAACACTGTAGACATAATCACTGATATAAACCCTGTTGACCAATTTGCAAGAATTGTATTTTCTGTCAGAGGCTCTATAATTGATATAGATATTTACAAAGAAACACATTACTTTAAAATTGACAAAAATAATTATCATTGCACCCAGTTCCTATTACAAAATTGCTTCACTCTTACTGTTTATAAAACTCAAGGCCTAACATTGTCAAGAGTTTTTCTCACACTAGATGACAACATTTTCTCTTCTGGTCAAGCTTATATAGCTCTTAGCAAGTATCCTAATTGGAATAGCATCAAAATATCTTATCTAAATAGATCAGTATTTATGACTGACCAAAATGTTATTCTAGAATATCAAAGATTTGAAGAAATTGCTAGAACAAACCCTCACATTTTCTCTTAAACTTTTCATATAAATATCATATAACAGATTTTTTTACCAATTCAGCTATAAAACATATAACATATATATCAATATTAACAAGCTTCATTCTTATTGTATTTATTGATCATATATCATATTCATATTAAAAAAAAAACTTTACATAGAAATTATTTGCCAAGTTGTTAATTACTAGTTATAAAACATTATTGCATATTCTTGTTCCTGTAACCGTCGTTGATACCGATTTTAAGCCGTAAGAATGAGAATACTTAAATAAGTAAAAACCAACCCTTATGTACTAAAAACATAATTATCAAATCTATAATAATGATAGCCTAAGTTTAAAGAATTAACATCATAAACAGAATTAAAAATTCAGTTTAAGCCTCGCTTTATAATAAACTTCAGATCTTCGAACATCAGTAAAAATTTACAAAAAATACAGTGTTCAATATTAAATCAAATTCCATGTTTTTTACTTATATCAACTTAAAAAATTTATTAACATTCAAGTGCATTTTTGCAGTTGGGCAAAAATTAAAAACCCCGAATTACTATTTAATTATTGATATATAAGTCAACCATATAACGCGTTTATTAAACTGAACCCAAAACAATACAACTAAGATAATTATCACCTCAAACCCATCTTCCCACCTTAAAACCCACCTCATTTTACTGTTAAATTTCATCTCTCTTACATTAAAGCTCTTCTCTTCTTATAAATATACTTATAGTCAAATGATTTGCCTCACATTAACCATCTATCATAACTACGTCGTAAGTTTAGGGTAATCTAAAAAGTATCCCTAATGAATCGTTATTTATAAAAAACTTATTTAAAAAATTTTGTCACTACCAAACACATAAAATAGTTAAAAATTAACTGCCCAATACTCAATAATCGATCGAATTAAATAAAAATTTATCCCGATGCTCAAAATTTTGATCGATGATAGAATAAATATTCACCGATTCTACACTCTACGTAACCATTAAAACCCAAATAGAATTACCAAAAGCAACATAATTGGTCTATATGAATAATTTTTTTTACGTTGAATATGTCTCTTGTTTATTATGAAGTATCTAGACTTAATTTATCCAGTGAAGATAAAACAGCACTCCGTTTCATTTTCACTAATAATTCAAAAATAAAAGAAGAGGTAAATACAGTTCTTATGACAATCGAAAATGATGATGAAAAGATTAGTTATTTGAGCAAATTTTTACAAGAACATGGCAAGTACCATTGCTTTATTCGCTGTCATTTAATTTTTAACATGCGCTTCATATAATTATTCCCTTATAGAATTAACTAGCAAGCGCACGCAAATCTGTCCATGGGATGAAACTGAAAAAAGTCTAGGAAAGTTTTGGAATTCTTTGGAGAATGCGAAAATAATTGATAATTTCCTTCAGTTACCCGAAGGCGCCTATTTCTTGGGTGATAAAGAGCAAAGCAACATTTTATATATCCGTAAATGTTACCTCCACTTAGTTGATATTATTTTTAACGAGGAAATATTTCGTTGTCGTATTACCGGTAATCCCGGAATTGGCAAAACCTTTTTCGGCTTTTACCTACTTTATTTTCTTTCAAGACAAAATAAAATCGTTGTGTACCACAAAGCTTGTCAATATCCAATTCTCTTCAACAAGCAACATACCTTCCGTAGTGATAATATCTTTGACTTTAAAGAATACTTGGATAATACAGATGTCTGGTATATTGTAGATGGCCGACCACCACTCCAAGTTCATGCTAAGACGATCCTTTTCTGCTCTCCTCAAATACGACATTACAAACAATTTGATAAAATGGTTGGAACAACGATACGCTTTATGCCAGTATGGTCATGGAATGAGATCAACGAATGCAGGATCGGTATGTTCAATCATCTCGAAGTAGCAAAGGTTGAGGATTTGTACTCACGTTGGGGAGGGATTCCTCGATTCATCTTAGAAAAGGCTCTAGATAATTTTCAGCAAAATCATCTTGAAGATGCAATTAGCAAATGTAATGCTAGATTATTAGAATTTGTTGGGGACAATTACCACACCGACGATATCAGTCACATCATTCATATTCACACGAATCTAACCAGTGAAGAGGGAGAAGACTACATTAAAAAATTTTTACTATTTGCGTCTGAATGGGTGGCTGAAAAAGTGATGGACAAACTTGAAAGGAATTACAATCAACAGTTAAGGAATTTTGTGACAGCAAGCTCGTCAGAAAATGAATACAGTTCGCTTCAGGGCGTCATATTCGAACAAATCGCGCATCGAATTATACAAAAGGGAGGATCATTTTATACTCGTTCTTTAGAATCTGACTTCACAAGTACGATTGAAATTCCAGAACGGATTAAGCTATTGTTTAATGACATTAATAAGATCGAGGAGGGCAAGTACTGTCAACCGATTCAGAAGAATTTTTCATCTATTGATGCAATTGTTGCACCTCATAAACTCTTTCAGATGACCGTGTGCAGGAATCATCCTATTAATGTGAATGGCATGAAAAAGCTTGTTGAAAAGTTGGGTGGGAAGTCGGGAACAAATCATATATATTTTTATTTTGTCTTACCAAAAGATTTATACGATAATTACCAAGCACAGCCCTTTTATACTAACGACCAAACTGTTGCTAAGAGGATACCATGTTGGATTACTAATCGTGTTAAGCAATACGCATTGAAGATTGACTTGAGTTCCTGGTGATAAGTTTACTGTATGTGATAGATTGTTATTTTACCATTTTATCATGTATTACAGACTTGTGTGATTTTTATTACTGCGAATTTTAATAAAGAAATATTTTTTGCTGCGAAAATCACTTTTTTACGTGTTTTGGGGCAATAAGATTGACTTATATTATTCCGTTAATCAGATTTGCTTTTCAGCTGAAAAATTCAAAGATCTACTAATAATTATGGGGACTAAAAATTAAATTCTTAATCCTTGTTATTACAATTCGCAATTGCATCTTTTCGTTACAGTGTCTATAATTAGGCAACTACGCCGGGATTTTCGTAAAAAGTCTAAATTCATTTCTTGGACTCAAAACATATAAAATTGAGGTATGTTTCACTGGTTAGTCCTTTCATTCGCTTGCGCAATAAACGAAACAATCAAATGAAAATCAATACTTAATTCAATAAGAATGAAGCCGTAAACTTTGGAACTAAGGGTGTGATTAGGGATGGTTTCGGTCAGCTACGGCTATAACCGGTTATAGCTGGTCAATTATTCGATCAATTTTTTAATTAATTCTTTAATCGCTATTATTAAGTTACACACCCAAGTATATATGTTATACAAGCGAAAGTTTAATTATGAAACTATGTTGCATAACAGTGAGCATCGGGATCCTGTAAAAGTTGGAATCTTGTGGTGTCAGAATCTTGTAGGTGTCGGGATTTTGTATGTATCAGGATCTTGTGTATGTTGGGATCTTGTGGATGTCAGGATCTTGTGTGTATCAGGATCTTGTGCGTGTCAGGATCTTGTGGATGTCGGGATCTTGTGTATGTCAGGATTTTGTAAATGTCGGGATCTTGTGGATCTTGTGGGTGTCGGGGTGTCGGGTGTCGTGGTCTTGTGTGTATGGGATCTTGTAGATGTCAAGAACTTGTGGGTGTCGGGATCTTGTAGATGTTGGGATCTTGTGGATGTCAGGTATACATGGGTGTCTAAATTATTTTACTCTTGTCGTAAATTTAAATGGCTAAATTATTTTAGGCAGCCTAAATTGTAAATAATTTAGGCTGCGAAAATTATTTTAGGCTTCTCAAATATTTTAGGATGTCTAAAATATTTTTGGATGTCTTAAATATTTTTGGATGCCTAAAATGTTCTGAATGTCGAAAATTAAATATTTAAAATGCGATGAAATTTTAAAATACCGACATCGCAAAGTTGTTTTTTATTTAGAATTATGTAGAATTTTTATGTAAAATTATGTAAAATTTTTATGTAGCTTTACAAAACTTTATAAACCCAATGTAGAGTTTACATATCCATTTATATAAATCTATATATATTTCTATGTAGAATTATGTAAAATAGCAAAAAAATTTTAACTTAAATATTAAAGCTAGGATTAAATTTTAAAGTTTAAATTAGGGGTTTGTGGAAGGTTTTTTTTGAAAAATAGCTGAAGTAAATTAATTTATTTTTATATAAATATAAATAAAATTTATATAGATTTATATTTATATAAATAATAAATAAAATTATATATAAAAATTACATAGTTTACATACAAAAATTCTTATTATATAAGTCTACATTGGGTTTGTAGACCTATATAAAAATTTTATATAATATTTATATAATATTATAGAGTTGCATAAAGTTTAGAAAAACAGCTTTGTGATGGAAGCTAATCTTTTGATTAAATAATCTTAAGAATTAAATATGTTGAATGTTAGTCGGAAGCATAATCATCATCGAGCTATTCATCTTGGGTCTAGGTCAAAATTCTGAAACTTAATTATCGTGTCAGTTCAAACTCCGCCTATGATTAGTCATCATGATTATGCCTGCGGCCAAAGGTTTCGGCTATTTCGGCCACTTGACAAATGGTCACAAATTATTGATAACTTTGGACATTTGCCACGTAGCCAAAATGACCGAAGCATTTCGGCCATATGTATAATCACGATGACTAATCATAAACGGAGTTTAAACTAACGCGATAATTAAATTTCAGGATTTGACCTAGACCCCTTTTATTAAACATACGTATTATCAAACTCAACCATATTCACGTAATTTTCCATAACTTGCTCAAATTCTGACTGAAAAACCGAGTAATTATAATAAGCATGCAATTTCGCGATATTGATACGTTTTCTACAATATGTTTTCACGTACACATATATCAGATAATAACTTCATTTCTTAAGGATGCTAAGAACGAATTCAATTCGATCAATTATTTTGAAAAAATCGTATAACATTTATTGTTCTAATCTGGGAAGAGATTATTATAAGAGAACTTGTAAGCCGTGAGGAATTATTCGGGATTCAAGTTACAGTACATATTAAGTAATAACTTAATTTAAAAATTTATCATTATTTTAAGTATCAGGTTTTTATTGATTTTTAAGGAATATGGGCTGCCGTCAATAGAAATAAGGCAAATTAACATTTTAAAAAAATTTAAAGTCTTAACTTTCACAGCTCATATCTCGATGAAGTTTAAAGCTATCTTAATAAATTTATATTCAAAATAAAGCTTACGATCTAAGCTTTCATTTGAATAGAAATTTATTAAGATAGCTTTAAAATTCATCGAGATATGAGCTGTGAAAATTAAGGCTTTAAATTTTTTTAAAATGTCAATTTGCCTTATTTCTATTGACGGCAGCCCATATAATTTTTATAGCAAAAGGGTACTTTATTTGGGTGACGCCAAGAGAAAACCAGGAATTCTAAAAATAGACTTCCATCCACAGCGAAGTTGCGGGGTTTTTTAA